AGAATCTGACTGAAACCAGCGGAAATCAGGTTTGAAATGGGTTTGGCACATGTCAGCTTTCATGGACATTGACACGTTGATTGGGCAATTGTCACTGCAACGATGGGTGGTCAGTTATACGTCATCCGCCACTTCATCCACTTCGACTCAGTCATGCAAGGCTTGGCATGCGTGGCAAGGGTGACTTTGTGACTCAGTCATCAACTGCTGGCTATTCCTGAAAAGCCTGAGCAGCCGGCTGCATTGGGAACGAAAGGAACGGGGCATGTAAGGTGTAAGTCCTTGAAGAAAAGAAGCGGCGAGAATTCATATTACAAGCGCGTGTGCCCAAACCCTGGTAGAGACATGATAAATACGCTTTTCCAGATCATAAGTTTCAGACCTTCGGACATGTTAACGTAATTCATCCATGCAGATACTCATCACAATATTTCGCAGCGCAATCAATACATCCAAGTGTCATGGCGTCACGGAAATATCAGAAACATCAAAGAGTCACACATATCAATCATTTCAAGGCATCAAGCGTCCTGAAAAGGCTGTCGCTTGAACTGATGCTGGTAGGGGGCGTGCATGCGCTTGGCCTGCAACGCAGCCACTTCTTTATCAAAGATTGAAACTGAAACCTCAAAACCTTTTGCCGCGTTGCCGAACCACAACGACAAATTGTCACCATGTAATCCAAACACATGGCAACTGCAACAATCACAGCGCGCTGTAAGTTTTCAGGCAATGCAATATATGCAATATACTGTCAACAATATTAGTCACATCAGGTGACTGGAAAACTGTTAATCTGCAAGGGGGGGCCCGATGCGACGGGGTCACACCAGGGTCACATCAGGTTCCTGTTTACAAGGCGCGTTAGTGTTTGAAAAATGTTTTGGCTTTATACGAAATTATTCCATTTCCTTTGCGGAAGCAGCTGCAGTAGGCATTTACACCAGCTGCACACCAGCAGCAGCAGCAGCTACCACCACCACCACCAACAACAACAACAGCAACAGCAATAGCAGCAGCACACCAGCAGGAGCTAACCAGCAGCAGCAGCAGCAGCAGCTAACAATCAGCAGCAGCAGCTAACAAGCAGCAGCAGCAGCAGCAGCAGCAGCAGCAGCAGCAGCAGCCAACAAGCAGCAGCAGCAGCAGCAGTTAACAAGCAGCAGCAGCAGCAGCAGCAGCAGCAGCAGCAGCAGTTAACAAGCAGCAAACAAGCAGCAAACCAGGAGCAAACCAGCAGCAAACCAGCAGCAAGCCAGCAGCAAACAAGCAGCAAACCAGCAGCGGCACTCTGCAACGCGCCAGCACCCAAGCTCCCCAGCACACCCTGCGGCGGCACCAGCGCCCAAGCTCGAGCACGCAAACACGCAGCTCTTCCTACACTGGAACAACAGCGGCTCCCTTCAGCGGCACCAGCACCCACGCTCGAAAACGCACACAGGCAGCTCCTTGAAGTAAGAACCCTAATAGCTCACGCTGTCTGTTGAAAAAACACGATGCAATGATGCAACAAGGTTGTTGAATCTATCACACAAGCAAGCAACGCATGGGCACAGCACATTAACATCGGTTCGTAGAACAAATAGAACAACAACAAACATCCATAGAAAACCCAATCCCCAAGGGCACACCATTTTGATACGACTTTCCTCCAGTTGATACGACGTAAAGCGAGGCCCCAGTAGCATTGAAAGAAAGGTTAGCTAGATCATTTGCATGTCGCATGTTCTCAAAACAGCATGGAATCATGAAACCGATGCGACTTCCCGAAGACCTTTCGACGCAAGTAACGGCAACATTTAGTGCAAACCGATGCGACTAATCTATCTGAGAGTATCAATATATTCAAATCACCATGTTCACCTGTCAACATCCCAATTTGCCAGAAGCCACTCGTGCGCCTCTTTCAGCATCTCGTGCCCAGTCCCCCACCATTGAGGATATTGAAGATACAAACTCACACCAATGGTCTTGTCGGGCCGACGTCTGTACATTCTGTACTGTCCCTCCCCCAAACGCAGCTATGCTGCTATGATTGCTCTCATGAATGTCATAGCCTAAGTCTACCTCAAAGTGTTGACCATGGTCCTCTCACTGGGTACTGGATGACAAGCAGACACGATCGTTTCGGTCAAGCCCCCTGCAAGGCTCAGCCTAGCACGCCATGTGTGCTCCATGTTCTTCCCTGCCAACTGCAATGGCGACGATCTCTGACCACCAAGCGGTCGACCAAGGCTTGTCCGCGCTGCCTGAGGAAGGCTAGCGTGCACCTCGCACCATGACGCAATCGCCTTGTGAATTGCAGCAGGCTTTTCTTCACTGCTGTTGCCCAAAGGCTTGAAAAGCGTCCGGGCAGCGCAGGCGTGGTACACAAGGCAGCCAAATGCCCAGTAGTCAACCTTCGGGGAAATTACTGATTTCAGGCTAGCCTTCCCGGCGTGCGCCCAAAGCTCTGGGCAACGAACTGGCGCACAGGTATAGACGCTGTACCCCAACTCCTTGTTGGAAAGAGGCCCCTTCCAAAACTCGGACATGCCAAGGTCAACCAGCTTGGCCCGCTCAATGCCACGCTGCCACAGCACATTGCGGGGGTGCAAATCACAATGGCAAATGCCAACGTCGTGCAACACCTTCAAGGCGCTGCGCACCTGGGCCGCCAAGTTCCTTGCCTTTTGGGGCTGGAAAGGCCCATCCACCGACAAGACTTTCAGCAAGGTTTCCCCTGCGTATTCAAAAGCCATCCATGGAAAAGGTTTGCCAGCTTTGTCAACACCCACAATGGTCGGGAAGAAAGCCCCATCCTGCACCCTCACAGACAAAGCGTTGGACAAGTGTTGCCATGCTTCAACCTCTTGCTGCCAGTCATCGGTTTTCTACACCTTCAAGGCTACCTTGATTCCGGTAGGTGAATAACTGGCAAAAACTCGGCCGTAAGTACCTTCTCCAATCCGTTCCTGGAGCGTAAATGGCCCAACCTTGTCAACGTGCTGTGCAGCAGACTGCCCTGTTGCCAGGCCTGGCTCTTCTCCATTTGCTTCTTCCTGCACTGTCACCTCCTTCACGATTCTCGCATTTGCAATGCCACGGCTAAGCAAGGCGGCTCTCTGCGCGGCAAAAGCCTCGCTACACATGACCTTGAACGGCTCCTTCTCCTTGTCGCTTAAGCTGCGCCACAAGCGGCCGAGTCGGCGCATCTCCTCCCGATGATCTTTCGCTGGCTGGCCTTTGCCGACGCTAAAAAAGCGCTTGACAAAGAAACCAAATGGTCTGGCGGCTTTCGCCACAACGCCTTCTCGGAGCGCAGCCTGTCGCGCTGCCGAGCGCTTGCTTTTCTTTTTCACTGCCACGCTGGACGCATTGCAGCTTGCAAACGCTCCTGAAGCTGGAGTGTTGCACCGCAGTCTGATGGCATGGGCAGGCTGGGCAGCCATCGCTATTTCGGACACAGGTGAAGCTGCAGCCCTATAGACCCTGGGCCAAAAGTCAACAATCAATCAAATGAGCACCACATGCCAAGCAACATGAGGGTTACGGTTAGGGATTGCCGTGTGGTTGACACGCTATCTTCGATTCTAACACATCTCACATCCAAATCATCCAATGGCAAGACAAGAACCACGCGTTTGACATCGTAAACGCAGCAGGCCTTCCAAGATCTTCCAAGCTTGCAGACTCGCCGCCTTGCATCAGCACTACTACATTCGTCACATATTGCACCGCGTCTCCACACAAAGTTAGCAAAAAGTTAGAAAGAGTTACCCGAAGCTTAATAACATAAGTTATAACAACTTACAACAATTTATAAACAACTTAGTATATCTGTGTTGTAACTTTGGTAAGTCTAGTTATAACCATGCTAAGTCTGTAAAGTCAGCTAACTTCAAAAGTAGCTTCTCCGTATACAGAATGATTTTGCGCATCGTGCATCAACCTCGCAAAGTCCAATCAACCAAAGTTCCTAAGTCAACACAAAAAGCAAGCAAAAGGTAGTGTTGTGCAGTTGCTAAATGTTGCTAACACAGCTCGCAAGGTCTTGCCTTGGCTGGCCCGCTCTGTCATGGCGCAATATGGCGCAAGCCGACACCAAAGGCAATACATAGCAGATTGCAGTGAGAACCTTTTTTTTGTCACTTATCCGCTTCAAAGATAGATGACAAGACATTATCTGCTATACCTTCAGAGGCTCATAGCTACTCCATGGTCTTTATACTGGTTCTTGTGCTTGTTTGAAATTGATCACTGCGACATTCAGAGATATTCAGAGCACTGGGCAAAAGTCAGATGGCGCCAACACCTTCTGAGGCCATAGCAATGCTTAGAGACCTGGAAATGTAATATTACATTTCGCAGGTCCCCCTGAAATCTGGCAGCTTAAGGAGGGATGGATGTTGCAATGGGTCTTTTCATGTGTGCCTTGGGCCTCTGGAGCTCTTGGAAAGGCGAATTTCACGACGGACCCGATCCAAGTCCAAAGCCGAAGTCCGAGTTTTGTTTCGTTTCGGCCACGGTCCTGTCCTGCCAAAAGCCACCACTGGCCAGGCGCCACCAGCAAGCTGCGAACTGCTAAGGCATGCAGCCATCACAGGGTTGAAGCTGTAAGTTGAAGTAGATTGAATAAATGTCATCGTTCTCCCGTGTCCCTAGCTCCACAACATCAAAAGTGCTTTTGCCACTGAATACATTTCTCACAAGCACTGCTCAAAGGTTTGACACGTTTTAGAAGCTTGCTTTGGCAACAAGCTGCAAAGCAAAAGTCTGGTGAGATGAGTACGTTGTGTTTGCTTGCTCGCATGCACTTAGTATTGCGCCATCGGTCACACAGTTGGGACAGATCTTTGAAACCGACCTTTCCTGAAACTAAACAACAACTTGCAAGTGACTAGTGTTCGGATGGTAAGTGTTCCAATAACCACCTACTAGGGGGGGCCCTTTATTTGTTTATCAAAGTGTGACGCCACACATACAAAAGGAAACACCCGCTTTTAACACTCATGGATATTTCTGTCTCCTTTCGTTGTTATGTTTGTCTGTTTTTCTTTTCGACCATTGGGCTTTTCGTTTTTGCTGTCTTTCCTTTTGTTCAGCTTTTTAGACCTTTATTTCTTAATTTCCTTCTTCTTTTTGACCTTTAGGCTTGACTTTCTCTCTCCCTTACAATTTCATACCGTTCTTTGGTTTTTCACTCTGCAATCCCATTTGGCACTTAGGTAAACAAGAATTACTGCCTTCAAGATGCTCCGAAGCAACTCCAAAGTCAAACGCCAGAAGTGGCCTTCGTTCTTCGCGCACGCACTGATGGCAGCATTATAACCTGGCATCGTGATGTGCCACACTCGTTTGAGGAACTAGTGCGATTCTTGGAAAGTGTAGTCTGAGTCTAGTGCTATTCTTTGTTTAGACAATACCCTGTGATGTGTGCTGATGGTAAAAGCACAGCAAACAGCTGGAGGAAATCACATCAACCGAGGTGCAAATGCAATCAGGATTGGCCTAGGCAACCGTTGCCTTTTGGCCAAGAAAAAGGGTGCACAGAAATATACCGTTGTCAAACGGTGCAAGACAACAGCTGATACGTTCTTTCAAAGGTGCAATAGATTCAAACATATCCAATGCCAACCGCCACTGTTGGCCTTTGCCACAAGCTGTGATGGCAGCAGCATAGCTGATCTCGTTTGGAGATGCCAGAGTGGGAATAGACTCAAGGATGCAAAGGGCCATTTCCCAAGAACTGCTCTTCTCGCAAGAGCTTAGAGCAATGTTGTAGCTGACAATGTTCTTTCTCACCTGAAAAGGAACGCGAAAGAAAGAGCGGGGCTCACTTTCACTACAAACGAGTACCACAGGTGAGAAGTGAGCGATTCATCATATTAATCCATTATTCCTAAATGCACCGGTCAAAGGCCCCCGGGTCCAACCTGCCAAATACAGCTGTTCAGCAAGCACAGGACGATTTGCCATCGCGAAGCACAAGCAGTCATCGCAGCATTCAGACTGACAATATCAGGCAATATGTATTTCTCCTAGATTGAAACTCATCTGGTGTCAAAGACTCAAAGGGGAGTCTCACCTACAAACATGCAACAATTCAAATATGCCAAAACAATTATAGTAACAAGAAGCTACTAGGGGTCCTGGCATCGCTACTAGGAGCATTCTTGCTTCTAGTAACAAGAACGTTTCAAAACAAAAACAATGCTAAAATTCAAATTTCAGTTTCTGGCATTTCGCTGAGCAAGGCAAGCGCAGCCGGCCATCCATCGCCTGCACAAGTGGTTCTGGCACTCTCTGTGGAGCTGTCACAGTCTGTCATTCACCGGCAACCACTTTGTAAAAAGGCGGGCCTTTTTCGCAGGCACTAATGGCAGTGTTGAAACTGACAAGGCCAGGACCATCAGTGTGTGCCAGGAGTTCCAATGCCCACTGCCACTGTTGAGAGTGCCCACAAACACTGATAGCTGTGTTCCAAGTGATTTCATCCGCGAGCTTCTCTGACTTCATTCTCTGCAACAGCTGAAGAGCACACTCCCACTTTAGTGAGCTGATTGCAGCATTGCAAGTAGCAGAGTTCAGAGTGCGGGATCTCCATAATTCATCCAAAAAGTTAAGAGACATCTCCCATTTCGCGTTTAAGGCCACCATTAAAGCACCACATGCTACTTCATTAGGTGTAATGGTGTTCCTCTTCATGTCCTGGAACAAGCAAATTGCAACTTGCCAGAAGCCCGCGCGCGAGCATACTGATAGTGCAGAAGTAAAAGAGACAACGTCAGGGTTCAATCTGCAATATGCTGCCGTGTATAATAGTTGCAGAGAAATCGTCCAGCAGGAGCTCTGCAAACAAGCATTTATACAGGAATTGCACGTGATTATATTCTTTCTAAGCCTCGCACGCGATGCTTGTTCCATCAGGCCAATTGCACATTCCCACTTGCCAGCTCTATCACAAGCACCTATGGCGCTGTTGAAACTAATCATATTGGGTGTTACAAGCAGCTGGTTTGCTTCTTGAAGAACGGAAAGGCACAACTCCCAGCTACTCAACTCCATTGCTGTGAGCAATGTGTTGAAGCTGATGACATCCGGATGCGAAACAGCAACACCACCAGCAATGGTAACCTTGTCCAACATTCCCTGAAAAAGTTGCAATGCTACCTGCCATCTGCCAGCTGCCACGCTTGCTGCCATAGCTGCACTTGTGCAGACTACATCTGCTTGTAGCGTCATCTGAGACATACGCAAAAGCAAGTAAAGCGCATTTTGCCACAGTCCCTCTGCTTCGAAAGATTTGATGGCAGAACTAAACACGATCTCGTTTGGCATCATTGATGTTTCCATGGAAGCCAGCAAACTCAATGCTGGAATCCACTGATTTGCTTTGCTGCAAGACTTGATTGCGGCACCGTATGTAACTTGGCTGAATGATATATGACTTGCTTGCATTCGCTGCATGATATTCAATGCCTCCACCCAACCTGCGCTCCCAATTATGGAGTTAAAGTAAAAGGTGTTCACTTCCACGTCCTGGTCCACCAGGAAATCCAAGATCTCGACAGCTGCCTATGACGGGCTACAGGATCTTGTGTTGCCAGTACGGACTGGTCTTTCCACTGCTTGCACACTCTCCACTATGATGTACGTTGGCATACGTTACGCACACTTACGCACACTGTGACACACACATGCTTACACTAAGTCTGGCAAAGTGATATTGAGGGGGATTGCCAAAACGAAAGAGTTACAGTACTATTTGCCTTCAAGACCCCGAGCGCAAACCTTCTAGATCCCTCATGCATATCACATGGATGCATTGCAGCAGAGTGCCAGGACTTTCCAACTTTTCCCCAAACAGTTTTGCGGTCCGAAACTCAGAATTTCTTAAGCCTCTCCAAGTTGTCTCTCACTTTTCCTACCCAGTCCACCAAGTTCTACTTAGTAGACCCTTGACTGGGTTGTCTCAAGTCTACCAACCACAGCCCGTTACGCCCTCTTTTGCACCTGGGTCTGCTCCCGGGCAACACCCTTCAAGAACTTTGTGACCAGCTGAGGGCTCCTGCAGTATGCAAGATCTAAAAGATTGAACACACATTCTTTTCGCCAACGGAATCACAAGCAATATTAAGCACTCATGTTCACAGCTATCAAGGGATTGATTTGGTTTGAGAACATCCCTCCAAAGATTTGAAGAGCATCACAAGTACATCTTTCTATTTGCCCTCCTGTGGCAGATCTGAAGTGCCTCTTCTATTGCCTTTCCCCCAGCATCAGCTGCCAACAAGGCCAAAAGCCCGCTGCCTTGAGCGACACATTTAACTAAAAAAAATCCCCAACATGCATGAATGAATATGAATGAATATGAATGAAGACAAGAGAACATATCAGGAAAACCAGATCAGCTCTAGCAAAACACTCAGCCAGGCACTCTGTGGGTCAATCGGAGCCATGAGATGACAAAGCTTCCCAAAGCTAATTCGTTTGATTCATACGGCTTAACCGGACACAGCAGTGGAAGAGTCGGCAAGGTTGGTTGCATCGTTGAACATAATCTGAAAAACAAACAATGCACCGGCAAACTATGTCGTACCACTTTCCCCCCCACTAGTAAAAAGGGCATTACTAGTAGTAACAAGAAGCTATTAAGGGCTCCTGGCATCGCTACTAGGAGCAAGGACGCTACTAGGGGCTCCTGGCCGTACTACTAGGAGCAAGGACGCTAGTAGTAACAAATGTTCTTTTCTTTTCATCTTTTTTCAGCGGCCAACGTCCAGGCACTTCAGAGACTTCGCAGGCACTGATGGATGCAAACACCAATTGCACCGAAGGCTCTGAAGCCAAAAATGTCTCACCTTGACTATTGGCACTCGGTTCACCGCATATGTGAAATGGCGTGCCATCATAAAAACCAACATAATTTTGCATATGTCCTGATCATCTCTTGCTTGCATCATATGTTCATGTCAAGAGGCCCAAAAATCCAATTGCATTTCTCCAGCAGCTGCCTCTGACGCAAGCGCTCAAGAGGGCACTGCAATTGGCATCGTCTGTGGATAGCCCAATGCTCTGCATCCTCAAAGACACAACCAGAATCAGCAGGTTTTCTCAACAGTATGTCCTTCTTGTGCAGCCCCAAATTTGTGGGATTTGGTATGTTCATTGCTGTGGGCACTCCCAGAATGTCTTCACCTTCGCTTCCTTTCCAAGAGAACAAAGAAAGAAAGAAAGAAAGACATACAGTACTTTCACAAAGGACTAGTACAGAAAGTAGAACGCATGCTGCACAACGGCCGTTTTTGCTGACTTAGTGTGTCTCTATACCTTGACCGGCCTGTTCCAGGCATCCAAAGCTAGGCTCCACTCGCTTCTCCATGCTGCTATGGCAGCACCAAAACTGTATGTGCTGGGCAAAGGTGGTGCAGGTAAAGCGCTCTGTCCTCACTTGAAGCGACACCACACACAACAGCGACACCAAGCTGGGAGGCCACTCCAATGGCTACAGAGTGGCTACAGCCACAGCTGGTGGCCTCCAACCTAATGAGTAGCAAAGCAATGGACTCCAACCCAAAAGCGGTGGCCTCCAACCTAACAGCGATGGCCTCCCACCTAATAGCAATGGCCTCCAACCTAACAGCAGTGCCTCCAACCTAACAGCAATAGCCTCCAACCTATCAGCAATGGCCTCCAACCTAGTAGCAATGGCCTCCAACCTAACAGCGATGGCCAGACGTGTTGTACTTGTCGCTCGGTCTGGCTTGGTCCTTTCTGGCACGCGCTGATGGCAGCGTTAAAGCTCCCATCGACAGGTTGAATGAGTGATCTGGTCATTGTGTTGAGTAGTAGAGAAGCCACCCTCAAGCAAGCGAATGCACATGTACAATTCATTTCCAAAAAGCTACATCTCGGAAAAGGTAAACAAAGCCCAAGAACGAGCAGAAACAAAATTTGCATCATGCACATCTGAGTCGGAAGCTGCCACTTCTGGCACTTCTCACTAGCGCTGATTGCTGCGTTGAAGTTTATTTGATCGGATTCGACCTGCACTTCCAAGAACCTAAACAGACTTTCCATAAGAGCTTGCTCTATCTCTTTTTGCACTTGTTTGCTGAATCGCCTCGCTTGAGATTGCAAAAGCGTGTTGCAATTTCAATTAAAATTGAATTAATTCTAAGTCTTGTTTCTATTAGCTTCTTGCTCCTAGCAGTAAGGCCAGGAGCCCCTAGTAGCGTCCTTGCTCCTAGTAGCGATGCCCTTTGCTCCTAGTAGCTTGTTTGCCGAATCGCCTCGCCTGAGATTGCAACATATAAGAAAGAGTCTCCAATGCAAGCTTCCATTGCTGTCCTTTTGCACAGGCACTGATTGCAGCGCCGTAGGTGATGGCATTCGATTCCTGGGAATGCGCTCGACAGTGTTGGATTGTGTGCAAGCAGTCATATTCTATCTTTGGTCTCTGTCTTCCATGTTCCTTTTGTCGTTGCTTTTACCAAAATGAATTTGATGTGTGCTTTGACTCTGGTGTCCTGGCTCAAAGAGTGTAGAATCAATGTGATTTCCCAAAAGGATGCCTTCTCACAGGCGCTGATGGAGGCACCGAAGGAGATAATGTCTTGGATGGCTCTACCTATGCAAAGACTGATAGCACACCTCATTTTTTGCCAATCTCCGATCAAGCTTCTACAAAATATAGAAAAGAGAGAACGACATAATTCCGAATAAAAAATAAGGAAGCAAACACACTTGTCATTGCACGAAGCTTGCCATCAAATTGCACTGCGGGAGTTGGGAAAAGATCGAAATTGCCAAAGACCACTGCAAGCTTTTCTCACAAGCACTCAGAGCAGCATTGAGAGCAATTTGCTTTGCACCAACCTCTATGGCGAGGAATGCACAATAAAAACGACCTAGAAGAAATAAACACAACCCCCTTATTTAGCGTCACGACCAGGCAAACAATACCCCGCAGTCCTTTGTAGGTTCATAGGCTTCAAGGATGTTCACTGCCCACAGCCACTGTGAGGATTTCTCGCTGGCACTGAGGCAAGCAGTGTAACCTCAGCTTTCACATTGAAAAAGGTAATCAAGTGCCAGTGCAATGCCAGCAGTGTGAACGTTTTGCCATCAAGTGGCTAATCTCATCTGGCACCTCCAGGCAGGAGTTCAGAGCCAAAGTACGGATTTTAGTACAAAGCGTTTTAGTACGAAGCTGTCTTGTAATACTTCAATATCGACAAAAGTGGTTGCGCATTGCTGCTCAAAGCGCCTGTTCCGTGGACTTCATTTGGAGCAAGCAGGAAAGTGCTCCTTGCCAGCGCTTAACTTCCTCCGAAAAACTCAAAGCCGCGTTGTGCGCAAATACGTCGGGACGAACCTGTCAGAGCGGATTGCAAGCAAACAAGCTTCTTGCTATATAATAAAAGTAAATGGTAGTACAATGCAATATAGCGTATGTGAGCATTATCATGTATATAATATCTATCTATCCTTCAATCTGTCGAACGGTAATCAGAGTGTGGGCCTTGACATACTTCATTTTGGAAAACAGGAGCTCAGCAAGCTTCCACCGTGCTGCTCCACATCCTAAAGCAGCTGCAGTATAGGTAATTTCAGAAGCAGCAGTGGCATGTTGATGTGCTTTGGACCTGATCCCTTTAGTCTGCATCTCATCCAGCAACTTGAGACCTGTCATCCAACCCCCATGGACACAAGTGTTGATTGCCGCGTTGAATACAATCTCATCCTTGGATTGCGACAACTGCATTGTGTGGATTGCGACTTCCCAGTCTGCTGAAAGCGCTGATAGCACAGAGCTGTAGGTGAATGCATCTGACTGAATGGAAGAATCACTCATTCCGCCCGCGAGATTAAATGCCAAATGCCATCGTGCTGCACAAGCACTCACGGCCGAATTGCAACAGATCGCGTATGCTTCAAAGTTCCTCTGCTGAAGTCGTTCCAGGTAGGTCAAAGCCAAATTCCATTGACCATTGCGTTCACATGCGCTGACGCAGGAAGAAAAACTGATTGCGTCAGCTTGAACACCGTTCAGAAACGACAAGCCTAGCTGCCAAGTGCTCGACAAAGCTGCAGAGACAATGGCAACATTGCAACTAACTTCGTCTGCCACAAGCTGGCGCTTTGGCATTTCACGGAACAACTCCAGCGATCGTTTCCACTGCCCGGCTTTCAAGCAAGCATCTAAAGCAGCATTGAAGCCTCAAAATCAGGGAGCGAAATGTGCTTTCAGCTTTGCCCGTCAGGTTTTGGGACGGTTTGGGCACGTCTACGGAGGCCCTGCGTTTGTTTCATGGCGCAAACAAATGGAATTCAACTGAGGGGTTCAAAATGCCTTGTAATGGTTCTGCTCGCTGTAGCTGAGTTGCATTGAGGCAACTATCTCGGGGAGTGCAATTCAGGTCTTGCGAACACAGTGTGATGGCTGTGGAAGGTTGGGAGTTTGCTGCATGAAGGTCGCAGTGATGTCACAATGGTTCAATCTGCACTGCAATAATAGCTCGGTCTGGTTGTCACTGGGTTGTGTTGAATTGGAACGCACTGCAATTGCAGCGTGAGGTTGCTCTGAGGTGCCACTCACACTATATATATATACACAGAGCGAATTCAAATTAAGTAGAACTGCCTCGAGAATTGCATAGTAAAGTGATGAACAGTGGAGATTGCATTGTCATGGTTGGATGCGGCATTGCAGTAGTGTGCACGCTCAAGACGCAGACACCAAAACACACAGCAACCAACAGGTTTAACGGGTAATAGCGGAATGTGTCTTGCCTGAATGCTTTCATGATGCGCAATGTGGTGAGTGTGGTGTGATTCTGATGTGGTGAAGGGTTTGGTTTTTCCCTTTCCACCTCTTGTTGACCTGCACACGACTTTGAGGTAAGCAAAAGGATCTGTCCAATGGCACCTAATTCCACTATATAGGATGATACTTGCAAGACACCGTACGGTAACGTAACACCGCATGCTTTGAAATACTCAAATACTTGCCTTTTGGGTCTTGAGTTTCGGTCGCCTCTGGAGTCTTCACATGTCCGCCTTGCAAGTATAGAATTGTCATTAAAAGGTATCACCATATATGTCAGTTAATTCAATCCCAGGACACTAAGACGAAAGTGTGTATATAGAAAGTGTAGAAAGTGTCACTTAGCAGGGCGATAGACCCTGTTTACACAGAATGTTTGTTGACAGCAATGTTTAGCGAAATTGGTCCACGCGAAATGTTTGATCGCTTACCTTGCTTAGGATATCTACCCTTGCACTGCCGGCCCCAGCAATCTCTCCCACCCGATTCTAAGCAGCCGAAGCTCACACTTCATTGATCTCTGCAGAGTCCAGCATGCAAAGCGCCAACTGCCAATCATTGCTTGCAGCACATGCCGACAAAGTAGCAGAAAAGTGAAAGCTGTTCACTTCAAGCGATTCTTTTTGCCTCAGACACGAGATGCCTGAGGCTCTCTCAGAAGTC